TATATATACGTAAATTAAAACGTCCTTCCGAAGCGGGCGATGGGATTTCAATTCCGGCTGCCGACAGCTTCTCACGGGCAAACCCCCCCAAACAACCTCTCTTTCTTTTTTTGTGCAGACACGCACTTGTTGTATCATTAATGGGAAGGTATATGACTTATTGGAATATAGCAGATGCACGGCGTATATAATTGAGGCAAAGGTAGTCAAAGCACCCCATTTAAAAATATCCAAGCATCCACACCCTTACAAGATCAGTTGGATCAAAAAGGGAGTTGAGGTTCTGGCGTCGGACAAGTGCATGGTAACTTCTTCCATTGGGAAGAATTTTGTTTGTGAAAGTTATATGTGATGTTTCAGAAATGGATGTATGTCATCTCATTTTGGGAAGCTCGTGACAATTTGATGTGGCAGCTTGGTGTGATTGTCGAGCCAATGCGTATTTTATTGACTGGAAAGGAAAGTAAATTAGACTATTGCCTACACTTCCTATGGAAAAGGCAGGCACCAAAAGAAGTTTAGCTTATACTAGTGTAACTTGCTCCCATATAGTAACAGCTTATAAAGGTGAGAATCGCATGTTTATTGTCCTGGTGGCTGAATCAAATAGCCACACTTCGGGAATACCTAAAGAAGTGGAAAATTTATTATGTCTTAGTCCATGTATTGTCCCGTCTCACATCATTTCAAAGAAAAATAGCTCGTGGAGAATGTATATTGACAACTGAGCAATTAATAAAATTACTGTTAAATTTTGTTTTCTGATGCCAGGCCTAGACGAACTTCTCAACGGATTGGGCATAGCCAATTATTTCTCGAAACTAGATCTTCGCAGTGGCTATCATCAAATTAGAATCAGTGAAGCTGATGAATGGAAAATGGCGTTCAAAACCTGAGAAGGCTTATATGAAAGGCGAGTTATGTCATTTGGTCTATGTAATGCACCAAGCACATACATGAGACAAATGCATGAGGTACTCAAACCCTTGGATATTTTTTGTGATAAATTTTGATGATATACTTGTGTATAGCCCTTCTTTGGATACTCATTTACACAACCTAAAATTGATTTGAACAACTCTTCGTGATCACAAGATTTTTTAGAATCTTCGCAAGTGTGAGTTTGAGATTGAAAAAGTACTTTTTGGGTTTTGTTGTATCCAAACAGGGCATTAAAACTAATCCGAGAAAGGTAGAAGCTATCAGTACATGGCCAAACCCAACAAATTTTACTAAAGTACGATGCTTTCATGGACTCATTAATTTCTATCGCCGATTCATTCAAAATTTAAGCGTTATTGTGCCTCTAATTATGAACTATTTGAAGCAAAAATTATTTGTGTGGGGTGATGAACAACAATCCAGTTTTTCTCTATTAAACAAAACCTAAGCTCTACGCCAATTCTAGTGATATCAGACTTTGATAAACCTTTTCAAGTGGAAATAGATGCCTCTGTTATAGGAATCAGAGCAGTTCTATCTCAAGGAAACATACCTATTGAATTCTTCAGTAAGAAAACTTAGTGGTTTGCTAGAAATAGTCTAAATACGAGCAAGAATTATATGTTGTGGTTATACTTTTTAGCGACCATCAATCATTACAATTTTTACAAACTCAATAAAATTTAAATCGGATGCATATGAGATGGATTGTATTTCTCCAAAAGTTAAGTTTTGTATTTGAAGCACAAATCTGGCCATAACAATCGAGTTGTGGATGCTCCAAGCTGAAGAGCGAGTCTTCTAATTGTTGTCTAGTCATTAATTACGGGTATGTGATCACTTTGCGAACAATATGAGGATGATGAGGATTATTCAATTCCATGGGCACAATGCATTGACCACAGGACAGCAGGCAATTATTCTATTCAACGATGGTTCCTCTCAAAGGCAATCAACTTTGTATTCCAAATGCATCCCTTCGGCGTCAACTCATTTAAGAAATGCATAGTGGTGTGTTGCCACTCGAATGGGAAGAGGCAAAACGCCAGCTCTCCTTCAAGATAGGTTATTTTGGCCCGGACTTCGTCGAGATGTTTGTATCTTTGTTGAGAAGTGCCAAGTTTTTCACACCTTTAAGGGTGTCACTCAAAAAACGGACCTATATCCTCCATTACCGATTTCGGATTCAATTTGGTAAGATATTATTTTAGACTTTGTTTTCGGTCTTCCGTAAACTAAACGTAGTTTTGATTATGTTATGGTGGTGGTTGACAGATTCTCAAAAATGGCTCATTGTATCGCATGCAAAAAGACATTTGATGCAATCAACATCGCAAAACTTTTCTTTAAGGAAATAGGCCGTCTAGATGGCATTCCAAGGAGCTTCACTTCAAATCGTGATGTCAAATTTATTAGTTGTTGTTGGCGTGAATTGTGAAAAAAGATTACAAACTAAACTAAAATTTAGTTTAGCCTATCATCCGCAATCTGACGGACAAACTTAAGCTATCAATCGTTCATTGGGTAAAATGATTCGATGTCTTGTAGGTGAGCATCCAAAGCAATGGGATGATGTCTTGAGGCTTTTAATGCTACAACAAATAGAACTACGGGAAAGGCGTCTCTCAGTATTGTGTATACTAAAGAGGCAAATCATACAGTTGATGTCACTACAATTCCCAAACCGAAGAGTTCTCAAGCGGCAAAATGGCAAGTGACTTTGAAAGGCTGTTACACAACATGAAACATAAAATTATCGAGAGCAATGATAAGAACAAGCAACAAGTAGATGAACATTGTGAAAGAAAGGTTTTTAATGTTGGGGATTTGGTGATGATTCAACTTTGTAAAGAACGAATTCCTACAGACACATACTCTAAGCTAAAACCAGAAAATTTTTGGTCATTTCCTATTGAAACAAAGATAATGATAATGTGTATGTGGTGACACTTCCTTCTGACTTGAATATCTCTTCCACCTTCAATGTAGTTGATTTATACATCACCCATCGGACGATGGTTGTGTGCAAATCACAGAACTCGAGTCGAGTTCTTCTAAACCAGAGGGGAATTTGATGAAGTGAATCCTTTTATAAGCAGCAACTCCTATATCCTTTATTTCCTTAATAGTATTTTTATTACTAATTGATACTGAATATTAGACCTCTATTTGTGTTAGCCTATTTCCTGTTATACGTGTATTTGGTTGTGTTGTTAGTGGAGGCACCCCACCTTCATATTTGTTGTAACTGTTTGGCCAGGAACTTTTGCTTGCTAAGGATTATGGAATAATAGCTCTGCTTCTATATTCCATGTTTCCTTGTTTTTTTTATTTTGTAGCTGCGCCAATAAATGTTGGCGTCAGATTGCGGACAAGGCAAATCATACGAAGCTATTGGATTTGTTGTTTTTGAAGAAGAAAGGGAACCCACCCCCCATCACTTATAATGTTATTGATGGAGATTTATCTACCCCATTGGATTGTGTGATGGTATTTCTTATCCAAGAACATGCTATATGTTTGCGCAAATCTTGTAACTTAAGTCTATGGCATCAAAAAATGTCAGAGATTTATTGATTAATAATCCTAGTGTGAATATGGTTTCAAACCGAAGACATAACTCGACAACAGAATTCTGAAATACCAGGAACAGTGTATGTTAATTCCTCAAAAACAGCTTGATAATTTAAACTCCAACCAGTTTGAGAATTTTTTTAAAGAATTTCCATGTAAATTATCATATTGAGAAGCTCCAAAACATTTTTGGCTGTGTGACTGCAAAAGAACTTCACCATGTTGAAAGTTGGCCTTTCAATTTTGACCATTGATACTAAATTGCAGCCAGACCTTCCAAGTAGAATAAATTGATGTGAATTCTTTGATTTTATGGGGTATTATATGAAATGAGGAACTCATCAGCTTTAAACCAAGCAAACAGAACGCTAAAGTACCCCAATAAGCATCACACGGGATGCTTTATCGGAAAAGCCGTTTCATGTATCATCTGCTTCCGAGGGCCAGAACACTGAAATTAACTAGATATAATTACAAAATTGTGTCATTTGCCTTCTAAATCGCCCAAAAAAGCATATTGAAAAAAGTTGGACAAATGAGAAGATTAAACAAAAAAAAAAAGCATCTAAGTTCAATAATTACAAAGATAAAAAAGGCAACGAATTTCTACCTTATGTTGAAGTCAATCCTCAGGAACTCACCGTCAGGACTTCTATCAACAACTACGGCTGTAGATGTGTTTACTGTCATATAATCATTCAATTCCTGAAATGCCACAAAATTTATCAACAAAAACTTGTAAAAATGCATCAAAACAATACATCGACTTTCAATTAAGTGATCCCAGCTATTTCTGGCATAATAATATGTGTAAGCACTGAAGATCATGTTTATGCTACTATAAGAACAATGCAAGAATAAAACATTGAAGCATTCAGATGATAACATGAGACAAAGAAGTAAGAGAGCATGCACCATTCCAAACAAAAACATCATAGACAGCGCCGCTATTATGGACAATCCAGCTCCGGAAAGCGAAGCCTCCGTTAAATCTCTTGGAATTTTCCTGCGAATCAGAAATATCCAGCATTAGCCGCAATAACTTTTACACGATCATAAATTATTTCGCAAGGAGAATGCAGAAAGATCTAAGTCGAATGCCGGCGATAAAATTCATACAATCGCCCATCAACGATGAGTGGTGAAAAGAGGGATTGGAATCAGACAATCCTTGCAATCGTCTGTGTAGGGCTGTGAGGTCTGACCTATAGAAATCGACAGATTTTAGCTTGCTTGAGGAAATCATGGCTCAAGTGATTGGAAAATCCCTGTTCTCGATCAGTGTTCCCGACAGTAAGATCTGATGGAAATGAAGGAGAACCTCCCTCTCCCTCCCTCTCCCTCGCCCTCCCCCCGCAGATAGTACTTCTTGCGAATTTGCGACGTTTTCTGGCTGTACATCGTTCCTATCGTGATGTATTAGAAAGTTAAAACTTAAAAGTAATATTTTCTGCAAAAAAAAATAATAAAAATAATAGGAAAATTTACATAGGTTTCACGCTCACAGCTAAATGTGTATGCATTTTAATATCTCAAAATGTTATGTAAGTATAAAAGTTTAGGAGTGAGATAGGCAAATATATAAGAATTATATGGTATATATATACTTTGTGTGTAGGTGTGTATGCATGTAAATGCCACAAAATAATATTATTTCATCAAATTTAAAAATTAGGAATATTTACATACATAGCACATAATTCTTATATATTTATACATTTCACATCTAAACTTTCATATTTACATATTACTTATCTTTTATTAATGATTTTATCATTGATGTATGGTAGGAATACTCCAAACAATTCTCAATGTTACAGCGGAATAGGATCACAGAATTCAAGAAAATCATAACAATAAATTTAAGCACAAAAGTAGAATAAAAACAACTAGAAAATCACACAATAATTTACACAGAAATAATTAAGAATGGGAAAAATCACAGAGCTATACCACCACAAATTAATTATGAAAATCAGATAGTTTTACAAATGACTCACACAAGTATCTTATTCACACTTAAAATGAAGAAACTTACAGAACGCTCCACAATCTTCTTTCTCCAATATGGGCGAAAAACACATGCTGAGATCCCAAAAATTCTTCTCTCCAACTCTTCTCTTCTTCATCAAGATCTTGTTGAAGAACAACAAAGGAAGACCTACACCCAACCCATCATTACTCTACTCGAAATTGGTTTAAAAACCCAGAAAGTGGAGTAACTGCACCGGGCACTAAAGCACCCAGATTTGGAGCCTAAGCGCCAAGCTCTTGGAATCACGCTCAGCAAACCGGACGCTTGAGCGCCCAAGGCCGATAATTAAACGCTGACTCTTTTGTCTACACACAAAATATCAGCACTTGAGCACCCAAAAGTGGAGCAAAGGAGCCCCTCTCTCCATCAACGCCCAAATCTGGTGCTTAAGCGTCGGATATTGGGGTGCTTTGGCTCTATATACAAAAAAAAATAATAGCTTTTCATTATTCATGTTACTTGCTTGACCTCAAGTCATGGTCATTTCGAAAGGTTCGGTAATGATAGGATACATTATTTACTAATTCTTATATTAGAAAAATAAGCAGTCAGCTAATGAATTCATTAAAAATGATTGGTGTGTTTGCACTTCTATAAATAGTCTATTTTGAGCAAGTTGAGGAAATAAAAAATGATGTGATAAGTTCTCGATCTCTCTCTAGCTTCTTCTCCTCCCATGTTATCCATTTTCTTGATTCATGAGCATCATCAAATTGTCATTTATTCCTCTCTAATTTGAGTTTCTATTATCTGATTCTCCTCAACCAAACTTCTAGATTTGTCAACCTCTTCGAATTGCCGATTATCAAGATCTCAAAAATTGGATTGTATCAGTATGCCTTATTCTCCAACGTTAACACTGACTGATATATGTGGAGAAATTGGTACAGAGTGTGTGCGTTCAATTACATTGTTCAGAAAGAAAATCTGCAAACATTTACAAAGGAACAAGGCAGAGTCCCTTCTCCTCATAAAACTTCAAAATTCAGAAATAATTGACCATAAAAAAATAAAAAATTACCTTCACAACAAATAATACAAATGTTCAAACAACCTCATAAAACCAAAAAGCAGAATGATTGACATGAACAAAAGAAAAAAAGGCAGAACGGCTCAAAATCAAAATTTAATAAGCCATTTGGCTATTAATCGGAGAGCTTGCAGTGTCTTCTAAAGAGTCATCTTCCAAAAAGGAGACTCCTTTGGCTTTTCTTTTCCTCAAGCCCAGCTCTGTTTTCACTGTAGATTTCCTTACGACATGAGAGGCGGCATCAGAGATGAAGGAAGTAATGGAGGCAATGGAGATGGAAGAACAAGAAGAAGAAGAAGGGTTCAGCTCTTGCTTAGCAGCTTCATTCCGAGAAGCAAGAAGGTCATCGAAATACAAGGTCCAGCCACTCTCCTCAGAGGAAGCTGTGGCTGCGTATACATCTCTGTTCGAGGAGTCGTCACTGGATTCCTCCATTAGAATGGAGGAGAAAGATGGTTGTTTTAAGTTTGAGGAAGCGGCTGTCCTATTTATACTGCAAATAAAACAGATTGGAAGAACTTTCAAAATATTTTTTTGAGAAAATTCTCTTTCAAAGATTTATAAAGGAAAAATACAATTAGAAAGGTAAAATTATTAAATTGACAGATTTATAAAGGAAAAAAAAATTAAAAATTTTTTATTTATAAAAAAGAAAATTATAAATTTCAGGCATTAATTTAAAAAAGTGAAAGAGGTCCCACCGGAGGAAATCTGTGCCCCCAGATTAATTGGACTGCTTACCATTTTGAAGGGGGGCTCTAAAGCATTCCTCACCAGTCATGTTATCACGTCAGTATTTAATTATTGGCCGTATATGTGTTTATAGTTATAAGTCAAAGAATCAAACATGTTTAAAGCCACACCATTGAAAATGGGCGAGCAGTTCCAAATAAATATGAAAAATAGTTATAAGTCAAAGAATCAAACATGTTTAAAGCCCCACCATTGAAAATGGGCGCGCAGTTCCAAATAAATATGAAAAAAAAAAAGAAGGAAGAAAAAAAGAAGGAAGAAGAAGCTATGATGGGTTGAATGATTGGAGAAAAAGAGATTTATGAAAGATTGGATTATTTGTAACTAAATGCAAAATAATGGATGAATGCAGGACGTGAGGTTATAACATTTTTCCTTTTATCTTTTAGGGAAATCCCTGAGAATTGGGTATGGGTACTATACATGTAATTTTCCCTTTTATCTTCTAATATAAATTAATCTTTTAATATATATATATATATATAATCTCGAGTTATTTGTGGGCTCATATAATGTTGGTAAAACCAGTAGGACAAGAGAAACATAATATACACTCTTCTGCTAGAGAAGAAGGAATGAGAGAGTGATCTCGAATGAGATTCCTAACAAGGGCATGAGATTATATATATATTTATATGGTTTGAGATGTTCTTTCCCTTTTAATTGTTGGCCTGCAAAGTGGCAATTAAACGATTTTAGTATAGTATGATGTCTATCTATGCAACTTAGCGATATCATGCTGACATGATGTAGATAATGGATGGCTTATAATTAGGTGTTGTTGAACATATGATAATTCTTTATTCACATTTGATACTCAGCTTATCAGTTCGACAGGTTTGCCTGATGGCTAGTACCCAGTTGGTCAATTCCACAGGTCTTCCTAGCAGCTGATACACGAAAATTGATACTCAACTAGTCAGGTCGATTCGCAAGTCAACTTGACCTCTACGTTAATTTTGAAAGAATCGGCTACACATTCGAGTCTAGCCTTGAACTCAATCCATCTAATTCAGGCTCTACGGCATATTAGTTTCAAAATCAAAGTTAGATCATTAATTTTAATAAAGTGAGAAAATTATTCAATTTTCAAACAAATCAAATTAAACTTGGGGCTCTAATTATTTTGCTCTTCTATTTTCATACGGAGGTGGTCTCGATGGATCCTTTCAATGTGCATGTGCATGCACTAGAAGCCATGCATCTATGGTTGTAGCTGATGTGGCTCTCACGGAACGTGTTCTTCCCCGTTGATTGTTCTTTACTTGGGTAGAAGGGATTCTAACACAGCTAATTTTTAATATAACTTCATAATCAAATACAATTGGAGATCTCAATTATTCAGTATACTTTAGATGATTATAATTATTATTTTACTTTTTTCAAATAATTATATGATGTGAGATTTCGTATTGTTTGTGGCTACATACAGCTTCCACAAAAACCCACTAATGTAAGACAAGTGCCCATGGATAGAGAGAGAGTAGGATGAAAAATGTCCTAGAAGATAGGGTTCTTGAGGAACTTGATAGCAAGATACAAAAATTTATCCCCAAGAAGGCCTGAGATTCCCCTAGAAAGGGAGATGAGAGAGAGAGAGAGAGAGAGAGAGATGCTTTTCCAGGGAGTCCTCCTCTCCTCCTCTTTCTTTTTAGCTCTTTTATACATGAGATACAAAAAATAGTACAAAACTGTCAGCACATGACATCAATGAGTGTATTGTTGTGGTGCATAAACTATGGAGCATTGTAGACTAATATTAGATTTTGCCGGTACGGCAACCATCCTTGATGTGTGAGTGATGGGACTAAATCTCAAGCGCCCTGAGGCGTCTTTAAATGAGAGAAGGACATATGTCATGGTTGGTCGTGATATCCTCCCCGACTTACTACTTCTATAGAGATAAGTTCATACTGTCTTCTTGAAAAAAAATAGAAATGAGCTGGATCAGTCACATTAGCAAGTGAAATCGGCTCTACCATTTCATCAGGTGGGCAAGATTCGACTACTTCGACGGGTGGGATAGATTTGCCACTTTTGCAGGTGAGACAAATTCAGTCACTTTGAGATTAATCTGAAAATGTTTGTATACATATACTTCTATATGTCGGTATTTGTGGATATATACAATAAAATTTTAAAGTGAGGAACAACTATATCAACTTGATTTTAGTGCCTCTTAGAAAAAAAAAATATTGATAAGTCTATTGCCAACAAACCTATGATGCTGCATTAATATTTAATAAAATCCTGATCGATAAATAATTGATAATCTATAATGTATTATTTATACTTTTAAAAAATATATATTAACGAATTTTAAAATAATAATAATAATAATTTTTTAACTTTTTGTAAATACTTTTAAAAGCAATTACTATCCGCCGGCCACCAGCTGCGAAATAGTTTAATATTTAATAAGCATAGAAATAATAAATATATTTTAGATATAAAACATAGTTTTTTTTTTAAATTAAAATATAAATAAATCACAAAAAAAATCCTAAACGGCCCCTAAACTTATCATGAGAGTGATGGAATTATATATCTTCAAAATAATTTGTGTAAAAGTCAAATCCACTTTATATGCATTCAAAGCCAAAGAAGAAGAAGAAGCTACTGCTGCTATTGTTTAAACATCACTCTCCATTTGTGTTACAATTATTGAATAGCCAATTAATGCATATTTTTTTAGCATTTAAGCTTGTTGATATTTGGTCATCAAAGTTTAATATAATATAAAATAAATACTTGATAAGTAATTTACATCATGTGGTTGATTTATACGTTTTAACTTGTCAACAAAGATGGCCTGCACATGAAAGTATTTATAACTATAAAAAATGCATTTAAGACAACACACAAAAATACGGAAAAGTGTGTTAACACAAATCTCATGGAGGTGTTTGCATTTCAAAGGAGGGCCAACTGATAGGATATTCAAAGTCCTATTTGACTAATCCGAGGTATCAAGACTCAGACTAACCATGGCAACTAAACAACTCGTACCCTAGCAGTTTGACCGGAAGCGAAACCCAGGGAATCCAAGCATTCCGTATGATTAAACTAACCCAAGGAAGAAACTAACTCAGCGGTTCCCATAACTTTCTCGGAGGCATCCAACAATCTCCTTGATCATCGACAACCAACAAGACAAGTCTCAGGCATCCCTCGTGATCTCTTCGTCTAACCTATCGAATTACGGTGATTTGCCCTCTGCCCGATAGCCTAGCTCTGCTCTGCCGCCGTGAGCTTCTTATTAAGAACTGTGGGTCGACGGCCAGATTTGACCAATCGATCGATTCAACTTAATTGACCAAGTCAATCGTATTGACCATTTGTCAGGAAATAGTCTGTCAATCGTCATTATCAAGCTTAGACGACCAATAGTCTCCTTCGAACTTAGTCGGCTGTGGGCCTCACTAGCTTAGCCAACTAACAATATTCATGAAGCTTAGCTCATCAGAAACACCTTAACAAATTGGACAACACACACAAAAGCAAGGGCATAAGTGTAACTTCAAACATTTCAATGCAATTTTTTTTTCCTAAATAATTTCTTAAGCTATTGGCTGGCTAATATAAATTCTTTTTTTTTCTTTATTGGGGACTAATCATCAAAATCGAAGTTAGATGAAATGACAAGGCACTAGCTACTGTTCAATCAATTATACAAAGCAACCGGCCATTGAATGGTACGAGATCATGGGTTGCATAATTAATAGGTTTCACGAATTTTTTTTAGTGAGAAATTTACATACATACCACACAATTCTTATGTATTTACATCTCTAACACCTAAAGTTTGATATTTTTATGGAAATATTTCAGTTCGTTTCCTGAGCATCAGTTCGAGCTCCCTGGACCTGAGATTATTTCTACAATTAATAAACTTTTTACTTAATCATTTTTTAAATCGAATTGACAATAAAATACAATGGTTGGACTGTGAACACATTCTTATTCTCGAGACACAATGGTGGGCCCAACCCCCGATGGGCGATGGTGATGCCGATTTGTCGAATGGAGTGAAGCTGCACGAGCCAAGTCGGCAAAGCTATTGTCGATTGAGCAAGAGAGCAGACAAAAAAACGATTGAACTGTCCAAGCTCAAATCAATTAGCCAGTGCGAGGCAAAAGAACATCAAAACCGACCGTTACAGGAAAGTCGATCGAATGCAACAACGAACCCTCCTCCGTAACCGATCCAAAGGAATATTCGATTCCACAGTATATCCAAACATCATAGGAACACCCAAGAAGTTTCTCATTAAGAACTAAGGTTAACAACCACGATTTATCAGCCAGCCGATCCGTACCGACCAAACTCAACCACCAAGCTGGTCCTGCCGACCCGAAGCCGACTAAGTTTAGCAGTCTGGGCCAGAAAACGGCCGGACAAAAAGCTCATACATTTAAAATACTAGAAATACCATAGTGCAATTTTTTTAAAACAAGAGCAAAAATGTAATATCCTTATTATATATCATCTACTATATAAATAGAAGAATCACTTTATGAATAAGAAGTGATAGATTGCATTTCTCTCTCTCTGTCTATTTCTTTTTATGCTCTATTGCTTAGGTGCGATTCATGAACAAATCAGGATTCAACAAATAAATATTTCTAATCTTTTGTCTATTATAAGAGGTTATATTTTCATATTTTATCATCTAACTTACAGAGGAATAATCATGTATAAGTTTCTCTCCAAGACTCTCCCACTGCCTGCACGCATGATATTGTATGAAAAATTTGGCGGATGCAAAAATAAATTTTATTTTATTTTTAATTTTTATACAATTACAAAGCATCATTCAGCTGGATCTAATATACAATAACTTTATTTTTGCAACATAAAAAACAATTTAAAATTAAATAATTATTTCTCCTAATATTTTTCATCTACATGCAAGCAGTCAGATGTTTCTGATAAGCTCATAGTTTAGAGTAGGGGTGTAAACGAACCGAACACGAACGAACAAAGCTTGTGTTTGCGTTCGGTTCATTTAAAATTTAGTTTGTTTGAAATAAGCTCGTGTTCGTTTCTTAACGAACGAGCCGAACACGAACCGAACACGAGCATAATATTATATATTAATTATATAACTTATATTATATAAATATTCAATATCTATATTAGTATATTACTGCTATAGTATATTAATATATTATTATTATTATTTTATTATATATTATAATTTATAAAATTTAATGTTTTAAAATATAATAAATTTTTTATATATAATTATTTTATATTATTTTATATTTCAAACAATAACGATTCGAACACGAACGAACGCATCACTGTTCGTGTTTGGTTCGTTTAACTAACCGAACGAAAAAAATTTGTTCGTGTTTGTCTCGTTTACTTATCGAACGAATCGAACACGAACTCATTGACGAACCGAACACGAACTGTTCGCGAACAACGAGCTTTTTTGACAGCCCTAGTTTAGAGTTTATTCATGATAAACTCAATAATTCTAGCTTCTAAAAAGATTATCTGAGTTCAGCATAGCTGAGAATGTTTAAATTTTCACTAAAAAAAGAAAATAGAAAAACTAGCTATTTACAGTCATGCTGAAGCAATATAAATGCTATTTAATTCAAGGCAAAAAAAAAAAGGCATCCTAAAAATCAATTATGGGCTCTCCAACTGTTAAATTTCTCTCTATACTCCATGACAAGTTAAAGAGCTTCGCAGTGATAAATTTAAAAATTTTGTTCACATTTATGTTATGTGTGGTGCTTGAGAAGAACAGAGTCGCCTTCATTACTCTTGCATATACTCTGGCCTGTCAAAAGTTATGAGGAATTAAAACAAAATCAGAAAATCAATAAGCAGCAGAATTAGCTTAACACAATTATTTAGTTAACTTTATTAATCTTTATTCACTAATCATGATGTTAATTCTATCATGTATAATCTTTAAGAACTATCTGCATTAGCTTGATGTTCCCATGTTAGAAATCAATAGGCTTATTCCTAATTCATTAACTTGATATAAATAAAAAAATTAAATTTGCTGAACATGTTTTCAGCCTCAAAGAAGAAAACAGAGATAGAGAGAGAGAGAGAGAGAGAGAGAGAGAAAGCATTGTTAGAGTCTAAGTGTTTTCATCACTTCGAACAAATGGCAACTCTAAGATCACCCAAAAAGTCAAAACTTGAATTATATATTTTAGGATTGTGGTGGAAAAGAACAGCTCTGTCAAAAATCAAGAGTTCGGTTTGACTAATGATGCATGGAACACATGGCCGCTTTTTTATGGCTTTCATTATATGCTTTATTGAATTGATTTGTAGGTGAGGAAACTAGTTTTAGTCTTCAAATTGAAGATGAAGACTTGGACTTTGACTCATCTAGAAATCCATTTTATGCCGATCCATGCTGATACAGACTAAAGGTAGCTTTCAATTGTTCTTTGCTCTCTTAGGCCATATAGGATTTATGCTTAAAAAAGGATATGAGTTTTTGTTTGCATGTGATGGAACTATCCTTTACTAGCAATTCGAATTGATGTTTTTAACCAGGAATCACAATTGTAGAAGAGACTCAATCCTTTAGTACTTCAATGCAATGGTATGTATATTAATTATTCTCATGTACCTTATAATTTCAAATACAAGTCAATTATAGTGGGCTATAATTAATTTTATGTTTATTAGAGTTTTAAGTTTGATGTCCATACAAAGTATCTTGTTAATTATAATATGAACCTAAAATATTTCAAAAGTACATGCAAAATGATGACTTTTTTCTTCCTTAATGCAGGATGATGGCTTATTGTTTGAGCTGATAAGCAATAAAATTGCCAATATTAATATGCTAGTAAATAGAATATGACCATGAAGCTCTTCAACATCGAAGAATATCTCTACCAACTCCTGATTTACTTTAGCACTAGAATAAAAGCTTTACAAGTAAGGTTTTTTCTATAGTTTTTTATTCGGGACATTTGAATATCTCATACAGTTCAGGGCGTAAGTGAGCTATGCTGACTCGGGAGCCGGCTTGGATTTGACTCGATAAACGGCCTAAGAAATGAGCTAACAAACCAAGCTCAAATAAGCCCCAACTCCACTCGTTAGTTCGTGAGCCGGCTCGTTTAAAAAATAATTAATAAAAAATTATTTAAATACATTAAAAATTAAAGCTTTTTAAAATTATTAACCATGCTTAAAAACATAATATTTTACCATTTATGTCAAGTGATTTCTCATTAATTATCGACTAAATGCTCATCATATTTATCATTTCATTATAGCATCATCTTAAATTTTTTTATTTTTTCTCTTTCATGTTAAACAAGCCCGCTCCAGAGCCGGCTCGAAAGCGTAGAATTATACTCAAGCTCAAACTCGATTAATTAATCAAGCTCAATCTCAAGCTGAAGGTGGCTCGACCCGACTGTTTACACCCCTCTACACACAATACATATAAGATCTTGAACCAAAAACCTCTTAGTTGAAAGCCTATGTTCTCAATCAGCTGGGCTGGGGAAGGTCTTTCTTTTTCTAAAATGAGTTATTTCTATCATATTCTGAGACAAAATTTTGCATAGCGATGTTCTGTCGTACCTAACAGATGAAAGATAGGCTTCCATCTTTGTCTATAAGATTGAGACTCCTCAGCAAAACGTAATTTAACACCTTTGCAATGACCCATTGCCTACCAAACCAATCATTGGTTCTTTGTTTTCATGGAATAAAAATCCAAGAAAATGACATTTGGCTGTCCTATAATTTCTAAAGTTATCAGCCACGTATGAAAATCTAAAATTTATCCCAAATCATTATGCTTTTTTAAGAGTCCATAAATTTTGTAAAACTCCATAAATCCCAAGCATTGAAACATATCATTTGAATGAACTGATTAAAATAAAAAAACTCTGCCACCAATATAAAAACATAGTCCCTCCCCCTCATTCTGCGCATAAAGTATTGTTATATTCAACAGCAGATAAAGCTACATTTAAGGCTAACTTGATAGTGTATAAAAATCTTTTATAGCATTACTCCCAATGCATGTGTTGATTAATTAAATCTTAATCAGTAATTACTTCCACTAGCACATCGCAGAGCATGATTAATTTCTAGGCTCATTCTTCCATGCAAAGCATATACATAATCAATAAACAAAGTTTCAATTCATTAAAAATGACATTGAAAAATGTAGCGTGTTAATTACCTCATTCACTATGGTCCACTGCATGTCAAAAGGAAGCTGAACAAAATCATCAAATTTCGTGCCTACCAAGATTGGAATCCCCGTCTGAAAAATTAAAATGCATTAAAACAGAATAAGCTAACACAAACTCACACACAAATACATTAAAAAATCAATAACTATTAAGTACCAGATCTTTAAAAAGAAAGAGAGAGTATAATACAGGACAAACTAGCATTAACATAACACACCCCCAATTCTTATATTTTTACATATCTAACACCAAAACTTGGCTTGTTTACATTTATACCAACCAAATCAATCATAGCACCATTTCAAGTTTAAAAGTGAAATACACCTTCTAATGTATAGGTGAGTTGGTATGTATGTAAAATTGAATTAAATACATAGGAATTGAGTGATATGCAAGCTAATCTTCTTTATTTTTTAGGTTAGGGAATCAAAGCATGTCTCACCAAAAAACTCCTAAGAAAAAAACCTCATAAGAATTACCTTATTCCATCTCCTTGCTCTCCTATACCAATTGGTTGTACTGCATCAAATTAATATCCCAAATCAGAATAAAATCCAAATAAACAGATATAAAATGAACTATTTTTATCCTCAACTAATTCTAAGAATATAAAATTTAGCATTATAAAGCAAGAACACAAACTTCCTAAGGCTGCTTCTATTTGTGAGATCAAACATTATCAAAATCGCAGCTGCATCTTTGCAAGCCAAAGGAATATGACTTAGAAACCGACCATCACCTAAACAAAATAAAAAAAAAAGTTAAAAATCAGTTAAAACATAAAATAAACTCTTTTAACCATCATTAAATATCCAAGTTAGAAGATTTAAAACCTCCTGTACAAGAAGAAATTATAAGCAAAATTATATTTTATTCTATGTGGATATTACAAGAGAATCATTAGCTAAATTTATCAAATAATTTATTAAAAACATATAAAAAATTATTAAGAAAATTAATTACCTCCAACATCCCAAATGCTAAAAGCAATCCTCACACCTCTTACAAAGAAAACCTTATCCATCAAATTCAGCCCATTCATATGCAAACCTCTGTTCTCCTCTTCCTCCCCCACATACTTAACCTTCAATAATGCAACCAAAATTAATCCAAAAATCCAAAATTTTTTTAAATGAAATTTCACTATATACAGCTCATTTGATTCTATTATACGCTAAATAAAAAAAAAACAAATCTTCTCCATAAATCAGATGACCTACCATGAAAGTAGTTTTCCCAATCCGGCAATCGCCGAGGAGGCTGACCTTGAGGGAGACGAGATCGTCGGAATCCTGCTCGGCGGCGGTGGAGCGTAAGGGCGGAGATAGGGGACGAGGGGAATCCATGGCGGCGGCGATCGGTATAGCTTCTTCATCGTCTTCGCGGAGGCGGTTGTAGCGGTGGGTTTGGTCGCAGTTGGTGGCAGCGAAGACGGCAGTGGTGACGGAGCCTGAGGAGCAAGCCATAACGTGGCGCCATAAAAGGCGGAGGAGGCGGCGGAGGAAGGCGAGCCTCACAACGCGGCTCAGCCGGAGTTCTCGCTGGACGGCGGAGCTGCCAAACTCACTCATGGTCCACGGCTGTCATTTTTCTTTCCCTCTTTCTGTCTCTCTCTGTTTGCTAGTCCAACATGCCGGCTATATAGGTAGGAGGAGGAAATGGGGAGATTGGGGGAAGAAGAAAAGAATTTCAAAAGAGCTAATTTTGTGCCATTTGGAAGTACTCTTATATCTTAATCTAATTGTATTATATCAAATATTAATCAAGAGAAAATATCATTTAGTGGTGTTACATGGCTGTCAAAAAAACTGGTTGTTCGCAAAAACAGTTCGGCTTGCTGGGGAGTTCGTGTTTATTCGTTCGATGAGCAAATGAGACGAAAAAGAACAATCATTTAGTGGTGTTACATGGCTGTCAAAAAAACTCGTTGTTCGCAAAAACAGTTCGTGTTCGACTTATCGGGGAGTTCGTGTTTATTCGTTCGATGGGCAAATGAGACGAAAATGAACATTTTTTTTTTCGTTCGGTTTATAAACAAACCAAACAAGAACAAACATTTGTTCGATCGTGTTCGACAGTGATGCGTTCGTTCGTGTTCGAATCGTTATTGTTTGTAATTTAAAATAATTATATATATATATATAATTTAACATATTTTAATTAAAATAATTTAAAATAATTATATATATATAATTTAACATATTTTAAAAATAATTATTTACTCTAAAAATATATCATATTTTAACAAATTAAATCCTTTAAATTATAATAAATAATTATATACTCTAAAAATGTATCATATTTTAACAAATTAAATCTTTTAAATTATAATCTGATCTTCATGTTTGCCTCTCAACTTATATTAAATTCTAAAATTTCATATTTATCTTCAGGTTCGTCTATTAGCTTAAATTTTCTTATATTTCTTTTAGATTTATTTAGTTTGTTTAAGTTAAACATAATTTTTGAAAGTGAAATCTCGTATATTGCCTCTAAATCGACTTTTTTATGTCTGAGATATGATATTATGATTTTATTATGAGTCATCCTTCGAACATTTCAAACATTTCAAATATTTCAAAATTTTCAAATATTTTTCAAACAAATCAAATTTCAAACAAATCAAATAAATCGAACACGAACAATAACTTTACGAACAATTTCAAACACGAGCTTATTTCAAAAAACACGTAATTTCAAACGAACCGAACACGAACGTGGAGTCAGCTTGTTTATTATAAAAGGGAAAAATAATATTAATTTAAATTAATATTATAATATATGATAAATAAAATGAAAATTTATTTCATATAGAATATCAAATATCATTTTCTAAATATTTTTATAATTTAAAGATAAAATCTTAAATTTTAATAAATTTTGATTATATCTCATATTGATATTTTTGATAATGAGCATAATGAGTATTTTAAAAGGGTTATTTATGCGCATAGCATCTAGCTGCCTCTTTAATTCATATTTTGCATTCTCACTCAAACATCAAAATTCATGATAAAATACCAACTCGTATTTTCATTTTTATCAAATTCTTAATGATTTGATCGTAACACATATAAATATATTGATTTGATAGTTTAAAAATATCACATGAAAATTAATTTTTATAAACAATAATACTTCTGATGTCATGTATGTAATTATCCCATTTTAAATTCATTTAGACCGTGTAATATGAATGTTGGAGCCTAACCCAAAATTTATAAGTAGGCCAACATCCGTCAACGCCAAGCAAATTATAGATCATTAACCAATGTTTGTCACGTGAAAATAAAAGTCAGATACGATCATTACATTGTTAATTAATAATTAAGTAATAATGCATTAGGTAAAGGGCTGAGTGAGTAAAACGAATAATTAAAAAATGAATTTAATAATCAATCAATCAATCAATATTCACAAATTGATCAACTTGCATTTTTCTGATAAAAAAACTGATTGATGACATTAAATTAACTAAAGCTCTTGATTTAACCTTGATTAACATATTTTACGTGTTGATTAGAGAAATTTAGGGCTACAGATGGCTTGTGATTCTATCTCTGGACATATATAAGCATTGATCTCTAAACTTTTTCTATTGAGCTAGGCACACTAATATGTTTCATTATAAGTAAATGATAGATCTTGAATCTCATATTGAGAGGAGTAATATCAAAGATAGCGACCGACCGATGGATCAATCGAGTAAGAGGTGGCAAAAGGACATCTACTCTACTCGTAGCGGTGCAACTTGCAAGACGTGCATTGAAACACGAGGAAAAAGGGAGGGGCGGGTAAGCTACTCTAGCTCGCATTATTTAAGGGTTAGTTTTAAAATTTTGAATGGTGGTATGCTTAAATCAATCAATTTCTGAGTGGATGCAAAGTAAAATTTTTCTACCTATTTCAAGAGAGGGAACACCTTTTTTTTTTTTTTTTTATGAGCAAGAAGCAAGCATTATGTTCACATGGTATGATCTCATGGTGGGATACTTTAATTATCACAAATTATGCATCCCTTTTTTTGAATTATCACTCAAATATTGAAATTCACAATGAAACCTAACCTTTTTTTTTTGTTTTTTTAATGAAATTCTCAATTATTTAATCATGACACACGTAAATAATTATAGTTCTGTAATTTAAGAAAATAGCCTCGAAGTTTATTTTATAAAAAACATTACTTCAGACTGTTGTACATGGAATCTTTTTATAAGGAGGGCTTAATAAAATAGTAAAATCAATTAGTGTAACTATAAATTATACTTGAAAATGACATAGGATGTTTCGATGATTAGCACATACATTTTAACTCATATAGATAATATTAAATTATTAGTAAAAATTGATTAAAGAATATCATGAAAGAGATGCATTGTTGGGCCATGAAATATTTGTGGAAACTCTTCACCTTCAAAGATGTTTAACCCTTGTTGTGAGATATGTACTTCCTAGCATAAAAATTAGACGAAAAAGAACACAAGCAAACACAGATCGTTTACGTGGTTCGATCCAACTGGATCTACGTCCACGGAAGGAAATCAATCAAATAGTTCACTAAGGCAAAAGAAATGGAGAATACATAGCTTATACATAGAGATGAGCCATCATCTTCCTTCTATGGCCTCCCTCTCAAGCGACATCTTGATACAAGGCCTCAAGATGCTCTCCTCCTCTCTAGCTCTCTAGCTATTCTCTCCTCCTTTGTGGTAGCTTAAGATCTCTTCCTTTGCTCTCCTAAGCCTCACACCCTTTATTTATAGAAGCAAGAGAGTGGTAGGTGGGAGGTAGGTGAGCGATAGGTGAGCGGTAAGTGAGCGGTAGGTGAGCGGTAGGTGAACGGTAGGTGAACGATAGATTTTTACCTTAGTTCATTAATTGAGGGTCAAAATAACAATTCTCCACCTTGACTCTCAATTGAGAAGCTTCGAAGTAAAGATTCCCTCCACCTGGCCCCTGAGGGGCTCTCAACCCTTGCTTGAGTCTGCTAAGTCCAAATAGTAGATGGACTTAGCAATCACGGTTCTTCCGATAAGAGAGTACGGCCCCTTTTTCCTGACTTTTTGTATCACGACACGAGGGTCTTTGGTTACTCTGATGCAGCTATTCTCTGGCTTAAACGAGCATCTGCTTGACTCCAGTCTAAAGAAATCAGATTTCTTTTTAGCTCTGGTACGTACCTGACATTTTTCAGTACTCGTTCAACTCCATCAAACATCCTTATCCTGATTGATCCACTTCCAACAACCCTGTGGGCTTTATTGTCTCCCAGTAGAACAGACCCATCGTTTTCCTGTTGCAGTGTCTCGAACCAGTCTTTGTGAGGACACATGTGGAAAGAACACCCTGAGTCGAGGATCCACTCTTTACTGGATTTAGTTTCTGTGATCACCAGAGCCTCAGCAGAATCGTAGTCATCAGAGGCTATGCTTGCTTCTCCTGATTCTTCTGGCTCTTCTTGATACTTATTCTTCCTGTCTGGGCAGTTCCTCTTGAAATGACCGTCTTTGTGACAATAATAGCACTTGAAATATCCCCTTGATGACTGATTCCCGCCATCCTTGGTTGACCTTGATCTGTACTGATCATTTCTTGAATCTTTCTTGTCCAATCTTCCTCTGACAATAAGACTGTCTCTGCTGACTTTCTTGTCCCTATCATGCTTCCTCTGAAGTTCCTTGACTCTAATCAGAGATTGAACCTCCTCCAGAGTAATAGTTTGCACCCTTCTAAAGAGCATCGCATCCTTGAAATGCCCGTAGCTCTTAGTAATAGAGTTTAGCAACAGTAGTGTCTTGTCGTCATCGTTCATCTTGACGTCGATGTTCTCGAGGTCGTCGATGATCTTGTTGAACTCGTCGATCTACTTCCCTCGACACCTCTCTCAGAACTTTGTCGCCCATGCTCAGGATTATCAAACTGTGAGCCTTGTCCAGCATGCCGATCTTCTCCTTCTCAGTCATGTGCCGACCCTTGCAAGGCTTCTGCAACACCATGCTGAACCAATAGAGCTCTCATCTTTACTCTCCATAGGCCGAAGTCATTTTTCCCATTAAATTTCTCAATGTCAAATTTGACGGAACTCATTGTCGTGGCTAGGATTTCTTCCAATGAATTCTACCTGCTGCCCTTCCAAGAACTAGGTTGAAATCACCAAAATGTTGTACTATTGTATAGCAACCAAAAGTTTTCAGCCTAAACTTGCCTTTTAACGCCTTGCTATCCAAGAAATTCTCACCAAATTTCTTACCTTCTCCTCGTGAACTCCACTGCCTTCGTCAACCGAACGGAGAGCTTTGATCCCTTCTGACAGAGATCACACATGTTCACCGGAGAAAACTTCATGTTCTATGCTCGAGCCTCCTTCCTGCAAGCACTCCTCTGCGTCCAGCGGAACAAATCAGGAATTCCTCCTCTGCCTCTCACACGAGAATAACTGTCTCTCCAGAGCCGCTGCACCTCGCCAAACTGCTCAGGTCCTCCTGCTTCGCAAACTCCCGAACAGGGAACTCCCCGAACCCTTCTTTGCGCGATCTCCACCTCTTCCCTCTGCTCGAGCTACTCGCAAGACCAAACTCCTGTTCCGAAATCCTCTGCTGGCAGGCCTGTCGCAAAGTTTTGGCCCTCGCTCGTGGACTGTTCCTCCTCCGTCTCGCCGAACCGCACAACCTGCGGTGCGAATCCAGTCAATCAA